GGAAGGGTGTGTGTGTGTGTGTGTGTGTGTGTTGGGGGGGGGGGTGTCAGCAGTCTTGTTTAAATAAGGTACATGCCACAACATGCAGGTTCTGCTTCAGGCTTTGTTTGTGTCATGTGTTACTGTATGCAGTGTTGGTCCCATGATATTAAAGAGACAAGGTAGGTGAGGGAATATCTTTTATTGGATCAACTTCTGAGCTTACAGAGGGCTCTTCTTCACGTCTGGGATCTCTCTGATTGTTGTCAATTTGATTTAACCCTCTCAGACCAAGCTTCTCCTCTGTGCCCTGGTGGATCAGGCTGGAGGTGATGTCCCAGGTGTGCAAGGCAGCACTGGAGAGGAGTATGGCTCACATTCCTGCCACACTCAGGCTCACTGGGGCATTTGGCCTCCGTTCAGGGTAAGTGAAAGAAGCGCAAAGGCAAGTTTTAGGCGGACTAACAAAGCTAAACCCACACACGGATCTGAGCCAGCCAGGCTCCAGCTGCAGGGCTCTCCACAGAAGCCTCTCGGGGGCTTTCACAGCCCGGTTTCCTTTTGTGCCGCCCGGTGCCATGGTTTCAAACGTGAGTGCCTAAAGTTAGGCCGCTCCAGCCCCGTTTTAAGCCCCCACGTTTGAACAGCCCCAACTGCAGCCAGCGCTTCGGGTCTTGTTACGCGGCTTTCTTAGCAGAAATAGCTCCGCTCCCCCACTCTAGGACGCGCTGCCGGGTCCCCCAGAGCAGCGGAGACCCGCACGGTAGCACGCCAGAGCCAGGAGCGATTCAGCACAAGCTTCCCCAGGGCCAGCTCCAGGCCCCCTTTGTCTCTAGCTGCACGCACCGCGCTGCAGGAGCCCCAGCAGCCCCTCCATGGCGAGCCAGGTGAGATCCTCCGTACGCCGGCTACAGGCTGGCTCCCTCCCCCCGGGCTGGAGAAGGGGGCCAGGTGGGGAGCGCACACGGGGTCCCGTCCCTGCTCCTCTCCCGGACTGTACCAGCCGCAGACGGGTCGACTCCGCTCTACTTGCCTGGCCGCGGCGTGGCTCTCCCCGAGCCCCGCTCGCTGCCGTCCCCCCGGTGCAGGCGGCTAGGCAGGCAGCAGCCGGCTGGGTTTTATGCGCACGCCGGCTGCCCGCCCGCCGGGGGTGGGAGGAGCCGGGCAGGTTGTCCCCGCCGGGCCCTCCTCCCTCCCTCCCCGCCTGGCTGAGAGGGGTCGGGGGAGGGGGCAGCATGGCCTGTCCGTCCGGCCCCTTTTCCAGCGCTCATCTGCCCCGGGAGTGCGGCTCTGCTCCTCGCAGGGAGAAGAGGTCCGAATGGAGACAGAAGCCAGCCAGCCCGGCCTCGCCTCCCCGGACTCCCCGCACGATCCCTGGTACCGCTCCGCCCGGCGCGGCGGGGGGCGGGAGCCGGG